TTCCCCTTTGGGTTTCTCTTCATCTCACCAAATCTTGAAGATAATGCAATTTCAGACATCAAATTCCTAATCTAGACCAAAAATTACCCCAAAAAGGCATGCAAAAACCCCCAAAAAATAGCCTGGACTACATTCATATACAAATACAATCATTTGCATAAAATGTTTTAGTGCAGTGAGTCCAAATGACAGTTATGTTTGCTGAAAGATTTTTGAGTTACTGCCCTGACGTCAAAATTGGTTACTTAATACAATAGCAACTAGAGTTTTGATCAAGTTTTATTCAATTTGGTATGCATATATGGACTCGGGGGGGAAAAGTTTCATTTTAGTCCAATCTGGATAAAGATCTTGAATTTGTGGACACAAAATGATAAACTATAGTTGTCATCTGATTTGATGAATGTTGATGGTAAAGATGGGTATGATCATAATATTTATAACTCGTTTGATTTTTGTGCAAATTTTTATCTGTATTGCTCTACAATTGAAGTATTGAACACTTTATAATGTAAATTGTTATCTATTTCAGTTACCACTACGTATGGATATAGTATTATATTTGTCACATGATGGTATTAGATTAATATTTGATCCTGTATCACAAAGATTAAAGGTAAGTTGATGAATATGTCTCTCTCCTGTTCAATGAGTTTACAGATTAAATTAACATATTGTTTGTCCTATGAATTTATAATATTGATATTGATCATTTTTTTCAAGAAATGAATATTTTTTATAATAAGCTTATACAGCTCAAGTCTGAAAAGTCTAAAACACTAACAGAACCCTTGGCTCTGTTTTAAAGCAAGTATTGATTCTAAATCCCAACTGAACTTCTCAAGAGTGATATGTTTGTCCAGAAGGTGTCAGTGGACAAGAAAATGGCCCCCAATTGACCCTCAACGATGTTAATTAGCAGTTAAATGCATTATATTGTTTCGTTAAAGAATATCTTTTGATGGAGTCTGTTGAATGATTTTGACGTCTGCTCTTGGTATGTGACATGATGAGCAGACACAGAGACTTCCCCCTCATTAATCATACAAGATTCTTCAAGTGTCTCTTCATTCATGGACAATTAGGACAAATTTTCTCCTGGTCATTTCTGAATTTGGTATTGTTCTGACCACACGCCACATGTCCACTCTTCAAGTTGGAGCTATATGAGATGTGTAATTTAACAAATAACTCTAGTTGTAATACATCTCCTTCACAACATGTCCATTTTGACGAGATCTTTACAAGACATAGAAAAAATGGTTGAGAGGTCATTTATAATGGATTGATTATAAAAATGAGAATATTGATAATGATAATGATTATTGGTAGGGAGGAAATCTAATTGCTAATTGTGCATCTGCTATATTTGCACAGTCAATTGAAATGAAATGAAATGAATGGAGTTTTACACCCTACTTTTCTGCACCATGTGGGCAATTGAAGACGCCATGCAGGGTAAACTACAATGAGGGAAATTTTGCCAGGACAACAGCATTAGCCTGATTTCCACTTGAAACTTGATTTTTAGTTTCCATGGAAGTTTAACTGCAGTAAAATAATTTCTCAAATCATAAAAATCTCTTTTTTCCTTTTTCATTTCCTGAATTTCATCTGAACTAAAATGATCTTAACATTTTTTCATACAAACAATTCAATAAACTTAAGTCAGAAATAAGCTTAAGTAAACTTGCCATGGATTTTAAAACATGTACTTAAAGCCTAAAAATCAGATCAATATTTTTTGATGAAAAATGTCTTTAATGATGGTGTCTTGCTTTGAAATTTTGTCTCTGAAGTTTTGTCCAGTATACAATTTGCAGTAATTTGAAAATAATTCAACTTATGATTTCAATTGGAGAGTTATTGCAAAGATCATTTTAAATTAGCAAAATGTAAAGATGTTGAGGGCCATACAAAATCCTGTAGAGAAATTAATTATATTTGACAAGTGACAAGGTACTGAAAGTACTAATTCTACTAGTAAACAATGATTAATGACTAATTTTGATAGTTCTTTATTATTTCACTTTGATAAATTCACTTTCAATAGTACCATTTTCAATTAGTACCCTTCTTGATTGACTCTTCAAAATTAGAAACAGAGAACTTCCGACTTTTTTACCTCCATCAATAGAGAGGGGTGTTTACTTTCTCTTAAGTGTTTAAATAAACGGTCATTGATATTAAAGAACATTTTGAAAAATCTAGTATCTTTAATGAAATAAAGAGGAAAAAAAGATTAGGACTAATGTTTTATAGAGGATGTTTCACAGTGGCATGACAGCAGCTGTCAATGAGATTATGAGAGCACCAGTCCACTACAATGAGTTTGACCCAAAACGACCCTATGTCACCAGATGGGCTTCACAAGTCGACTGTCAATAGCTGTATTAATACGATTAATCACATATCAATAGCCTCAAAAAATAATATTTAGATAATGCTTAACCTATTAAATGGTCTCAAATATGGTATTTTTTTTTTCTTTTTCATTTCCTGTTTTGATGTCTGTAAAATGCACCAGAAATTAAGAAATTATTACTGTCAAATTTGATGTATATTCAGAGAAGCATTTTTCATATATGTAAACTTTGACAATGACATTTGTTTCATTTGAAATGACAGTTTCCTTATGTATGTTTTGAAACTTCCTTTAAATCAAGGAAGTGTATCTTGCTTATATAATTGACACAATGTTTATGAAACCCCCCCTAAAAAATATAAGAAGGTGTTAAGGTGACATTTTTTTCTCGTCATTTTGATGACTTATCAAGCACCAGCTATTTGAAAGGAAGTACATTTTGCTAATGCTTATGAAACCTCCAAAAAAGATTTATCAACACAGTTTCCTCTTGTCAGTGATGTAGGTCAGAGGCGCTGATATGGAAAAAGCGTCTAGATGGTCGGATGGGACAAATAAACGAATAAAAAAAACTAGGTTGATGCAGCTGTCATGGCAAATATTTGCTCATTGCACACTGCATGGTGGTGCCTGTGTTCATTAGCCCAATTAGCTCAGAGTTGAACGTAAAACTGCATTCATTTCATTTTCCAAATTTTTAAAGATAATTTGAATTTGATGACCAATAAAGGTCTGGATATTTGTGACAAAGTGACTGTTATTTACATCATCTCAACCAACTAGGCAATGGTTTCTTTGCACTAATGTATGTGTACATTCCACAATTCCATTAATGAAAAAAATCTTGTCCAAAAAATGGCAAAATTGGGTGTAATAATTCTATAGTAGGGAAAAAAAAAGTGCACCAAAGAGAAGTATAATCAGGTTTTTAAAAAGAGCAAGCATGATCTGCTTTAGGCATGACACCCGACACTCTCAAAATCATGAGAAACAGACAGCCATTTTGTAGCCTTCACAGATATTTATATCTTAGAAATATTCATGAGTGTCTGACCTGAAACAGACAATTTCAGTCAGCTAATTTGAACATGGCCAAGAAAGGAAAATGACAAATGACCTTTGGCACGTGTCAGCTGTCCACAAGTAAGAGAAACAAAATGCAAACACCCCAGGGGGCAACCACTATCATTTACCTTCTTTTAAGAAAAAAAAAATTCAATTCACAGAGGCAAATTGAAAAATTGCCTTTATTTTAAGTTCCTTTTAGTGGACAGAATTGTACAGTGAAATTGTAGGGGGCACTGCTATCACATAACTTGCTTACAAAGGACCTTTTAAAAAAGTCTCAATTGAAAAATTAGTGTTGTGGTGCTGGACAAAACAGTATTTTCTCAGTCCCGTATAATTATGTCCCTTAGTACTTTACTAAATAACCATTACTCTGTTGGAAACAAGTGGGCTATTTCTTTCACAAGATTGGGATTCTTTTGAAGCTCTCTTGCTAGATTTCAGGTTTTGTTTTTAACATGGTTGTATCAAATTTTTTATCTTCAGATGATAGAAGTAAATAACATGGCTAAAGTGAAGTTGAAATATTGGTAAGTATGTAAATAGAATGTGTTCTTATGGAATTTCATGGAATTAAGAAACCAATATCATATCATGTCAAAAATGATAATCCTTTGTAGTATATTGAACGACCCCATTCTTCAGTTTTATGACTGAAAGGTTCATTTTCAGAATTTGAACTGACCACTGGTAGTCAAGTTTGTCTTTTACTTTAAAAGTAAATCTTTGTGACAATAAGTAAATTCTTTCTGTTAACTTGGTCAATTTATAATGGAGATTGATAAAAGAAACAGCAAATTTTTACAAGATTGGTAATTTCAAAGAAATTTTGTTTGTTATCAAGTTATGATGAAGAACATTGGTAAGGTTTCTAATTCTCAGATATCATATCGTGGGTGACAGCCTAAAACCTTGTATATGCCATATTTGGTCATTATGACTTTTTGGTACCGTTCGAAAAGCTCTTGATCTTGAGATCGAAACCTCGTATTCTTAGCTTGATTGTTAATAACCCAAAAACAACTAATTAAATAACACGTATAAACAGTCAGATTTAAAACCTCGTAAAATATTATATTATACAAGGTTCAATGTTTCTTTTTCTGCGAATGAAAATGAAAAACCTTGTATACTGTACTATTATACGAGTTATTGGTTCAACAGGCCGGAGATCTCAAATTATACGAGATTTATATTTTCAAACAACTACGGTAAAAAAAATAATAAAAAAGATTTTAACAAAATACGCATACAAATATATTTTCAGATTGAAATAAAGTTTTTTATTAATTGATGACAAATATTAGTTAAATGAGGCCATAAAGTAGTAGAGAAGACAGATTTTTATAGAAACATAAAAAATAATCCAAGATTAATGGTGACCCGAGCTAATTAATTACAGATTATAATACGATACTATTCCATTGTTAATCATATTGAATAACTTTACGGCACTACATTGTCATATTATTACGCTTGAGTGAATTGTCATGACACCAGGGATTAGTTGTTATTTCTACGCCTCGTCTATACCCACCAACGTTTTTTATTGAGGTGACAGTTACATCATGCCAGATTAACCAAAGTTCATGAGAGAGCACAAAGGTTTAGTAGAAGTGGAGGGTTAATTGTGGACACTCCTGCTTCAGCTTGATTAAGCAGACGTCTTTTTTTCCCCTTGAACTTTTTTTGTTGCAGACGACAGCAATAAAAAGGCAATTTCTTTTACCAGTTCAAGAAAAAGGACGTTAAGGTTAACTGACAATGGCTATTAGCTGCCTTAATGACCATTCTTTGATATTGGTTATCTTGTGACCATTTATTTTTTTTATCGGAGAGGGGGATTAACACTTTATTAGATCTTCTGACCAGATATGATAATAAGTTAGTAGTTACTGTAGAAAAAAGAAAAACGGTACTATTTAATGCTTAAGAATGAGCTTAGTACCAAATCCTCTGTCAGATGCTCTAAGAAGATGTGAAAAGAGATAAAATAGTTACAATTAAGTACTGATAAAATGAGAAAAGAATGAGCCAACTGGTAGTGGTACTATTGATACTCTGTTATGACTCTTGTATTTTTAATTTTGTTGGAAGTCAAAACAAGTCACATTGAGACTGAGTAAATAAAAGTGAATTGATTGCTTAAAGGTGATTTATGTGTTTGTGTATGTCAAAATATTTTTTTGCTCAAGTTTGTAAAAACTATACCCCAAAATCTAGAGAAATGTGTCCCATATTTTGTCTAAAAGTTTTAAGTGAAGAAAAAAACACACATGGATTTGAAGGCTTAAATTTCTATGGTGTGCCATGAACATTATTACTGATTGGTTTAGCTAAAAAATTCCCGTTTCTGAAACGAAAATATGATGATTGGTCAAAAGAATGGAGCTCTGTCCTTTCAGCACTAAAGCTATTATAATTTTTACATAAACTTTTAAAGTTAGATAACTACTGTATGGATTTAATCAAAATAAATGCCTAATTGTAGAGAAATATGTATTCTACCTATTCTAAAGGTTTCAACTAAAAATATTGAGTCTTTCTGAGGCCCAGCACCAAAACTAGTTTCAGCTGGTTAATTAACAATTAGTACTCTCTGTTATCAATCAAACATATTAAAACAAATTCATTTTGATCAAGAAGATACAGAGATATAAATAGCATACATTAGAAATATTTTCAGGTATAATTTACAACATTTTTGAAAATGAAAATTTTATGTACATACCCCTTTAAAACAGTAAATTTAAGAAATATGCTATATACTTAAAAAATAATGCAAAAACATAAAAAAAATCATTTTAAGAGAGAATGGTCAATGGCTGTGAAAGACTTCATTGATTTAAGAACATTTCAGGAAGCTGTCTTTAAAATTAATCACAGTTATTTATAGACAGTTCTTAAAAAAAAAAACATGTGTACAAAGAAACATCCTTCATTAAAGTTTTAACAGATGAAAAAACTGGTTTTATGGAGGTGGTTGGCATTCAATACTTCAGTACTATTTAGAACGTTTTCATTAATGTTTATAAAGGGACAGAAGGGAGGGATTTATTTTACTCTTTTTTGACATGAATGTCTCTTTTATATTGACTAACATTTCATTACATGACAAGCTAGCCCTCATATTTCAGATATGATACCCTTTTAAATGTATAATTATAGTTTCTTTTTCTATTTCAGTGGTGTTCACTTTAATACCCCACAAGTTCGACCTACCATAGAACAGATTGATCAGTCATTTGGTGCCACACATCCTGGAGGTATTGTCTGCATTTCTCTAATTTATTGGAAGCGGTCCATTTGCGATGATCTTACATAATCTTGTTTATAAAAAGTTCGGGTCAAAAACAGTGATTGGTTAATGTAGACTCTCCAAAATAGTACTTCTGGTTAACATACTCTCCCACACATATCCCATCATGAATGGTTCACTGTCATTTTTAGACTCGGTGCTTTAGGCATACTTCTTCATACTTACTAGGGTGTCAGTGGTGGATGTGCTGCAAATGTGGATGAACAAATTTTTAGGGGTGTGAAGGCTGAAATAGATTGGGAACCACTGTTCTAGGCACACCTTTAATTAAGCACATATTCACTTTAGGCACACTATAATTCAGCACAATGTCATTTACGCTCATTGATTTAGGCACAAATATTGAGCCTTAATGGCTGACTACCATCATGAATAACCACACAAAATATGGTTTTGATTACATGTTTAAATAATCTCTCCATTGAAATGCATTATAGTAAAATTTACAAAAGTATAGTAAATGTAACTATTAATTGTAATTTTGCTGGTAAAATTCTAACTAATTTGTAAAGTCTAATTTTGCTTTTTTTTTTTTTACATATTGCAAAAAAAAAAAAGTTGATTTTAGTACAAGGCTACTATTTATTTTATTTGTTTATCAGTCATTTAAGGTCACATTTGTATTTTTTTTTAATTCCCTTGTCAATTGGTAACTAATAATACCAGTGTTGGTACTGTATCCCCCCTATCTTATAACTTGTTAGTAGGGAAGGGAGGAGTGGAAAGAAACTTTAACAAAACTTAGTCAGTAATTAATGAAGCAAGCAGTTGACTATTTGTAATATGAAACTAAGATTGGTGAAAGTGTCGTGTTGCCTTTACCGTGCTGTTATTTCTTCAATTATTGTGACCAAACGTTCAATTGTGAGTAAAGTCATTTGTCCAAATGTTGAGTCATTATTAGTACTATAGTGAATAATAGTATTGTGAATAGTACATCATTTGACTTAACAATACCTGTCTGAATTGATTATAATTTAGTAACGGTTGGCATCACGTAACCTATTGTGTCTAAAGTTACTAACTACTATGACCATTGGTAGTGGGGTCAAAATGCTAATACTGACTACTTATTGCCCATTTCTGTCAATTGTTTACAAACACTTGCGTTGTCAGTTGATCAAGCGTTTAAAATAGTGTGAGGATCGTTTGCTGCAAGGAGATGTTGTATGTGACGGTGGTATTACCTTGTGTTCAAGTCATTAAATTATACCATGAGGGACATTAAAGCTATAAAGATAAAAATGATTAGGAATGTGTAGTGACTGTGATTGTTCCTCACTCTATTAGCCATTGATTTACTATCTCATCTCAGATAAAAATTATTGCTCTTTTTTTTACACTTTAACAATACCACTAAACACACCTCACTTTAGTGTCAATGGCTTCATGCTATATAAAATATTAAATCTATTATACTCTAAGGTAGATGTCAGCCAACTTGAAAGAGCACCAAAGTGTGAGCGACATAAGTCAAAGCCTTAGTTAGTACATTGATTATTTTTGTTATCAGTATAAAATATCGCTTAGTTAAATTTCATCTTTTTAGACATTAAAAATTGTATTTTGCCTAAACAAAGACAACTAGTGCTATTTTAATGGCTTTTTGTTAGATTGTTTGTATATCTTTTCATCAGTAATTATTAGGTATTATTATTAAAATGATTGAATTTGATGAAAAATTACCATAATATTACCAATAATGCATTGTAGTACAATTTAAACTGCTTATAGTCTGTACATGCTCTAGTGAGTTTACTATATTAGCTTATGTAAAATGGCAGATCTTATCTGGAATCAGCTCACTGTATAATTTAGCTTTTTTGATAAAGACTAGCTGGTTTTGATCAAATTTAAAGGGATTGTAAAGAGGTTTCCTAAAATTGTTGTGTGTATATGGGGACACTGATAGCATCAATTTGCACCATTCCAATTTTCAGTGTCTGTGGTTCTTGCAATTTCACTAAAACTAAGCGTTTTATGACATCACTTATCACTTAAGGACTTTGAAATTAATGATCTCATAGAACGCTTAGTTTTAATGGAATTGCAGAAACCACAGATGACTAATGTAAAATTAAGAATGGTGCAAATTGAATGTCCCGAATACAACATAAACGTTTTATAAAACCTCTTTACAATCCCTTAAAATGACGTCAAAGATCCATACCATTACTAGTTGCAGATGATGTCTGCTTCAGTGGGATAAAAAAATAAACCCTAGCTGGTTTTGATCAAATTTAAAGGGATTTTAAGAAGTTTCCTAAAATTTGTGTATGTATCTTGGACACTGATAGCATCAATTTGCACCATTCCAATTTTCTGTGTTTGTGGTTCTTGCAATTCCACTAAAACTAAGCATTTTATGAAGTCACTAATCACAAAATATGCCTTCTCACTTAATGATGTCATAAAACGCTTAGTTTTAATGGAATGGCAGGAACCACAGACGTCTGATCTAGAATTGGAATGATGAAAATTAATGCTATCAGTGTGCCCGATACAATATCAGAAGGGATTATGCAATTAAGTACTTCTGAAGACTATTTACATATATTTGAGAGCCAAATCAACTCCTGACAATCATGGCTAACCATGGCCTTTAAGTGATTTGCACCTTCTTAAACTGAGAATAAATAATTTTTTCTTCCTGTCAACTTGTCAGAATGTAAATGAAGGTTTATTGTTGATTTGTAGTTGATCTTATATCAATATTATCATCTCTATGTTTTATTTCAGTGTACATATCAGAAAAACAGCTATTTGTTCTTAATTTCCGAGGTCTTTCATTTGACTTTCCCATAGATTCCAAATTTGAGGTGAGAAATAAAACTTTTATATCAAATTTCTTTATAGATTTTCATCAGTTTTCAGTAGGTATGTCCAAATGATAATTCTATTGTAATGAAGAAAGTTTCACCTTTTTAGACATTTCACTTATACTGGTACTTGAGGTTTTAACCTTTGAATGATTTAAAACGGGATAATGCACAAGCAAAAACAAAACAATTCCTCTACCTCTTGTACACAGATTTATCAATTTTTGTAAACACTGATTGTACAATCATTATTGGTTTTAACATTTATTGCTATAAAGAGAATAATCCTTGTTTTATGACAATGAAAAGAGACTCGTCTGTCAGCTGATGGGACCATTAAGTGAGACCCCGTTTTCTATAGGCTGTACATGTTAAAGATACCTCAAAATTCCAAGCGTTGCACACTGCATGGCGTTGCCCATCATCATTAGCCCCCCAAAAATGCAAGAGAATGGAAAGTAAAACCCCATTCATTTCACATTTTTATTCACAATAACATTCTGTTTTAATCTGCTCTTAGACAATTAATTCTGTGAATCTCACTTTGGTAATCTTTTATCATTTTATTTCAGCCAAGATATGCTCATGGTTTAGGTTCATTACAGTTTTCAGGAGCCTCACCTACTGTATCTAGAATGTGTATATATACTGGAAATACGGTATCTGATACCAAGTAAGAACTTATATAATATACTTGTAGTCCCATGAAATTTCTTGTTTGATACAGTTGATCTTTTACAGGGATTTCCCAATTTTTACAAGCATAGCTTTACACATTTCCAATTTTCAATCTGATCTCTTTGGGTCTTGCAATTCTATTAAAACTAAGAATTGTATGACCTCTTTGCACTAGTGATGTTCTAAATGGCATTTCTATTATCACAGACATCTGACAGAAAACTGGTATGATGCAAATAGAAACCTCAATACACATCAAAAATTTTTTAAACCTTTACTAAATCCCTTCAATTCCTAATCTGTTCAATCATTATTATATTTGATGTCTGTTAAATGGATCAGATAATCAGAGCTATAGCACAAGATATTTGTCAATTTAAAAATTCTGGAATAAAAAGTAGAATTTTTATTTCTTCCAGAGCACCACCATTGTCTGTATCTTGTTTCCATGGCAACTGTTTTTTAGATTGTTTGGAAGTTTTACGGGAAAATAATGTTACTGTAGGGTTAAAATTTTTACTAGTCACTGAGGGTATGTTGATGTCTTCTTGAATACAAAACTTTTTTCTAGCAATGATATTCCTCAATATTTTACTGAATAATCTAGGAAAAGGAGTTGGTGATGATGCAAACTGCATGAGTTTGTCTATTTTAAAGAGCTGGGTTAGATTTATTTCTTAAATATCCAATATGTTTATTCAACATACTAACAGTTATAGATGTCTGGAAGGTTTTACATATTAAAGGGAGACAACTATGAAAAGGAAAATATAATGTGTAACAGTTTTTTTACTTAATTGCGTGACTAAATGAAATGAAACAACATTTTAGATAGATTTATAATTTGAACACTTCTGTTTTTCTTCTAAATTAAATGAGGGAGTTAGACACTTGCTCACTAACCTGAAGGTTCAGGGCATAGGTCGAGATAATACCTTTGGATTTTTCAATCCGGTTTCCCCCTGTCAGTGATGCAGGTAAGAAAGACTGACTTGGAAAAAGTGTCTTAGTCGTTTGGGTGGAAATATAAATATTTGCAAGACAATCACTGTGACACTGCAATCAGTGAAGGCATCTCATCACTTGAATTAGAGTAATAACTGTGTATATTTTGTAGGTAATGGACCAGGCAAATTAGTAGATCCTAGAAAGAAGACGGTAGAAAGAATAGTTAAATTTGGTGATACTTGTCAAGTAATTATATATAGTACATGTTTTCTTCTTTTATTTTTTGGAAGAGGGGAAGTGTGAAGGTTTATTGTTTATTTTATGATTTATAAAGTCCTTTGAATATATGGAATTAACCCATTGGCATTTTTTCGATTCAAATTCAATTTTACCACGCCTTTTAAAACAATAAAAATGATTCAGGGGAAATTATTATTGAAATTACGAAATCACAGGTCGAGGAGAAAATTCAGCAAAATTATATAATGTATATCAGGTATTTTTTTATATGTATATCAGGTACTTATAAAAAAATTCAGGAGTATGCTTATGGTTTTGCAAACATAACTTCAAGACCTTTTAAAATCATATTCGTGTTAGATTCAAGACATAATCACATACAGTCTGGTGGTTTAAAGGGACAGTGGTGCCATTTTGGGGAGTTGATTTTACTCTTGAAGATATGTAAATAGTATTCAGAAGTACTAGAAAGTACGACGATCACATAATTTCTTTAAAAAATACTTCAAACTAGGAATTTTACTCACTATTTCTATATATGTCTTTTCTATATATCACAAAGTAACTTAAATTAACGAGTTGTCATTTTAACATTCAACGGAGATAATTCTGAACACACGTGGATTTGAATGCTTAAATTTTGACGGTGAGCTTTGAACACTATTACTTATTAGCTCAGCTAAAAAATTCCAGTTTCTGAGATTATAGTATGATTGGTAAAAAAAGTGGCCTACCTGTCTCTTTAAGAAGAAATGAACACTACAATATGGTTGACCTTTACTGTTACAATCATTGCAAAAACATTATGATCTGTATGGTAGATGGTCCAGGTTTTAATTAAGTAAATATATATCTTCTTTTCTTCAGGATGTTGTTAGTGCCTTAGGTTGTGCTAGTAAAGTATTTTATAAGTCAGAAGATAAAATGAAAATCCATTCACCAGAAGCACATAAAAGAGTTCGCTCTCAGAGTGCTGATTATTTCTACAATTATTTTACATTAGGCTTGGTATGTTATTTATTTTGTTATCTTATCCTACTTGAAAGAAATCTGTTATGAATTCTAAGGTAGACTACAGGAATATGTTTTCTTTTAGAAAAGATGGATGGCATCACAAGTAGTATTTTAACAAGATTATCATCATTAATATGCTCTATTATCTATTTGGTCAACACACACTTGAAATGAGACTTTTATTCCTAATGTCTGTAATTGTTTTATTTTTCAGGATTTATTATTTGATGCCAATACTCATAAAGTTAAAAAGTTTATATTACATACCAATTATCCTGGTCATTATAATTTTAATATGTAAGTTTCATAATAGAATTATTGTAACTATGGTCATATTGAAATGATTTATTCACAATCTCTAGACTTGCACACACTAACCTAGAAAAGAACCCATGACAACCATTTTCAAACCTAACCAATCAATGGCCTTGTATTAATAAATCATTTTCACCCAAAGAAAAATAGTGAAACAAAAATAAATCCTTATTCCTTATTTTGTTCATTATTTTCCTAATGAGGATGGACAATGTCATACAGTGGGCAATGAGGTACATTTTGTCATTGGTTTGAATGATATTGAAGTATGGTGGGGTCTTATACCTGCTCAAGTGATTCTAGATCAGAGAGAAAGTTTAAGCCAGGTGATATTGGAGATGGCTATAGATAATGTATTGTGGAATCTTGTAGGTATTGCCGTTGTGAGTTTAAATTACCAGCTGTAATGGAGAAAGTTAAACAACCATTGCTATCTACTATAGATGATGATGAACTAGTTATTACAGCTTATTCTAAGGTAAGGTACTATTTCTTTTGGCCTTTCCATGTCTGAGTAGGGAAAAAAAACGAAAACTTTATGCTTTTGTAGGATAAAAACTTTGGTTCCTTAGAATTCTGCCTACCCTGGCGAAATATTTTGGAATTAATATTACCCAAATTATCACAGTGTCAATGGAATAGCTCAGTCTGTAGCTATTTGGATTGTCATCTGCTAGGCAATTAGGTGCATTGGGTTCCATTCCTTCTCATGGTGATGAAAAATTTCTGATGCCAGTTGGCTTGATGTCAGCTTTCACCCCCTAGTACCAAATATCAGTATTAATTCACAACTAGGTTAATTGGAATAATAGAATGACTTTTTGCTCACTGACCATGATTAGAACCCACCATTGTTCAATGTCATCATGAAAATGATATCAAGATTCCAAAGCACTAACTAAGTGAGGTATAGTTCATCCTGTCCTTACAGAATCCCTGTTTGTGTACCAGTTTCTCTAATATTATGTATGATATTGTAGTGGGACGATGTACAGAAATGGTTATTAAAACCTACAGAACAACCAGTTATATTAAGTAGATCTAGTTCCACCAATACCAGTAATCCATTTGCTCCTACATTTTGTTTTGGTGTTCAAGATATTATATTTGAGGTAAGTTGTATTGTCAAATGAAGTCACATTGGCCCTCAGTTTATTGTGTTATTTGAATGACATGATGCTTTTTACATGTAAGCCACTCCAACCTTCATATCTGACATGAGAAAACTGGGTTGAAAATCTCAGCCTTTGCCGAAATCAAATGCAGCCCCCATTATATTATTAGATCTCAAATATTCAGGTTTCTTATGCAAGATTCATGAGCTACAGGTTGTTGACATTAAACATTGTCGTGGAAAAATGTACCTTGTTGCACATTGCATGATATTTTCACTGTCTTAGCCCAAAACAGGAGCAGAAAAGCTTGATGTTAATTAAAACATTAATGCAAAGCAATTAACAAGGCATACAATTCCAGTATTCGAAGGCAAATCTTGATATTTTTTTTTGCCGTCAAAGTTTTTAGATTCCAAATTTTTAGAAAACATTTTAAAACTCTGTCATTTACTCCGTTTGTCATGTGATCAATTGCGTTTACATACTAATCATGCTTAGACTAATGTTTAAATTTTTAATACTTAACCGTATGATAATAAGTCCAAATATAACCTACAAAATATTTAATTATTATTATGATCAATTGTTTTTCAGATCATGCAAAATCAACATATAGCATCAGTAACTATTTATCAATCTAAAGAATTGTCATCATCTTGATGTTTGATCTCTGATTGGCTACATCTTGGACCAATCAACATCTAGATTTTATATATTTAAAAAAAAGCAGCCAATCTCAGGCCATTGTATATATTTAATATTATGGGATATGTAAGAAGTGTGATCGTTCATAGTAGTTATTCAGATATATAGTGAAATATCGGTAAGACCCAAATAATACTTGCATGGTCAACAAAGTAAAGATTTAATATATATTTTAAAGATTTTTTAAATTTTTTTTGTGTTATAAATTTGCCAACTAGATGTAACAACAGAAAAAAAGTATTAATATTTAATATTTTTGCATAATTTTGTTTAGTAGACAGGATTAACCAAAATGTAAAAATGTGAATCTTGGGAGTGTCTTTTTATTTGAGTTTTAGATTTTTTTTTTAGTCGTAATGTTTGTCCAAAGAGTAGTAGATTTTCTTGTGAATGTTTTAAAATGATCAGGGTAGAAGTCAGAATTAAACTGCTAGTCAGTAGTCTTAAAATTCCCCACCCCCCCAAAAATTCCAACAAAACATAGACATATTGCCCTGTTTTATTGCACTTCTATATTACATCTTATAAAATAGAACATAATATAATACATGACTTACTTAATTAAATGGACAACTTTTTCCAACAAAAACTCATTGTTCCAATGCACAGTGTTTCTTATGCAATTAATAACATGTAATTTATTACAATAAGAAACAAATCAATTAACCAGATATCAACATGTCTCTGTTTAATTGCTTCATATTTTCTGATATATAAGGTTACTCTACTCTTTCAAAATGTTGTATGTAAATCATGTCATTGTTTGGCTGGTATTGAAAGAGTTAACTGTACATCTAAAAAAAAGGTTTATTATCTGATTTAAAAAAAAAAGAAAACACCTCAATGTATATATACCCTATAGTTTATTAACTACATGGTTTTTTTTCCTTGTTTATCTCTCTTGCTGTGATATCAATATTATTTACCTGTAGTGCGTTCAGATGAGTAAAGTTAAGGCAGCGTAAGCCTGGTTTACTGTTTTTTGTTTAGCGTTCAAACAGACATAAAAGTTAAGCCAGCTTTGATATTACCTAGGAAAGTTATCGGAAAGTTCAGAGATCATAATACCATTATGCATGTGCATTATCACACGGATAATAATGGTGGAAATTTATTTTAACAATTGCGTAAGTGCAGACATGACATAATCTGCTTAATGTTAGCTTTCAGATGGCAAAACTAAGCTGGTTTAACTATTCAAGCCAGGTTTAAAGCCACCTCTGAAGTAGGTGCAAGTTAAGACAGCTTAAGTTTAAGCAGTCACTTTGAGACAACTAAAAAAAAAAAACAGGCTCGAAAAACAGTTGATAGTTAAGTTGCTTTAACTTTAGTCAAATATTGTTAACTACTTATTGCTCCGGTTTGAACAATTTTAAGATACTTCTAATATATTTTAATTTAGCAGAAGAACTGTGATTCATATTATCAAAGTTAGATCTTTTCATTGACAAGCTACATGAATTAGAAAAAAATTGGAACCCACGAATATGAATGATATGTCACTAATTGCAAAATATGCCTTATCACATAAGGCCCTTTGCAATTAGTGACGTCATCAAACACTTAGTGTTGAATCGAATTGCAGGAACTACAGACGTCAGATTGAAAATTGGAATATTAACGTTATTATTGTTTTATTCTTATAACTTTCTGTCAAAGGAATTTGAAAAGATTTGGCTGAACATAAGAAGACATTTTCCAAAATGAGCTTGAAAAGATTTCAATTTTTTTCCTCCTTTTTTAATTAGCTCAAAATTAGTGTAATCTTTAATGTATATAAAATGGCAGCACACAATTTAAAATAATTTAACCAGGTTAAGCCAACTTTGTTGTAAATTGTAAAATTTCCTTATATTAACCATTTTCACTGATGTAAGTTTAGCATTTACATTTTATTACATGATATATTACTGGGTACTCTAGTTTTAATATGTGTTTAATTGAGCCATCTGTATCACTTTTCAAGTTTAAAATTCAACATAGGATTGGTTTAAATTTTGTTTTAAATGAATAAGGAGATTTGACAACAATTTTACATACCAATACCACATCGCATTGGTGTTATCTGCATGAGGAAGCTAACATTTCTTCCAGTGACTTTTTATTTAATCGGAAATATACTATATGTTGCATATTCTTGTTAAAAGTGATACATATGGGTGAATTTCAGAATTCTTACAACCTATGTACAAAGGGTCAAAATATTGTTCATGTATATGAATTTTAAAATAAAATGTGGTGTGGTTCTAAATTTTCTTATCTATGGAGATATTATTCATGTTCCAGGTTTTATATATTCTGTATATAGCTGTATTTATAAGATTTCTAACTTTAAAATAATTGTCAGGTATAGTAATATACTAACAGAAGAAAATTGCTGTTAGTTTAGCTGTGTTAACTAGTTGTGTTGCACTAAAGGAGCTTCAAATTATTCCATTGAATTTGTTTGCACAACATTTTGTAATTATAATTCTGACAAAGTTCTTGTATATTGTATTTAGGTAAACACACCTTTAAAAGTACATTTTAAAGACACTGTATAAATTTAGATATTTTATCATATTTTTTAGTTTCTTGTATGAATACTTGAAAATATAGCTCAATATAACATTCTTTCATAAAAAGATGAATTAGAACTAGAAATTTAGCTTGGACCCACCCAGCTTGGTAAAATTAGATAAAATGTTATTGAAAATAACGAAATAACATAGAAGATGTTTGGTTCTATGCAAACCTAGCTCAGTTTTTATTTATTTATGTTCATATAAATTACATGTATATTTATTTTAATTCTAGTTCTATCTAGTTCAATGGGCATTAGTAATATTTGAAGAAAGTTTTTGTCAGTTATGTTTCAGTGCTGGGCCTTAAGACGTTTGGTCTACTGATTTAATGTTTGTCTGCAATAAAATCAATTTTACTGTAATTATTAAATATCTTCATGGCTGATATCGCATTTAAATGTTTTATTTAAGCCAGTTAATGAAAGATGAACTATTTTCATTAATATGATGTGATTAAGTTCTATCAGCTGGTATGACAAATAATAAGATAACTAATTGAAATGTAAATTGATTTAAAAACTTATTATTTTGAAGAATGGCATCATATTTGCTTGTTTCAAAATGGCTGTTTTTGTGAATGATGATATAGAATGTGCCTGTATGATAGATTGTGCCTATGGCTGTGTTAATCCAAATGTTTTAAGGGATTGTAAAGAGGTTTTTATAATTTATGTCTATATGGGACACTGATAGCATCAATTTTCACCATTCCAATTTTCAATCAGATATCTGTAGTTCCTGCAATTCCACTCAAAAGAATTAATCGCAGAGTATGCTTTATCACAAATAAGGCTTTCGCAATTAGTGATACTTCTAGTTTTAGTGGAATTGCTGGAACCACAGATACCTGACTGAAAATTGGAATGGGGCAAATTAATGCTATCAGTGTTCCCGATATGCATAATAAATTTTGAAAACCTGTTAGCAATCCCTTTGAGATATGTTACAAAGTTTATATATAATATTTGTGTCAAATTGTTAATATATTTTCTCACTTGTTTAGTTGCTCTGATTAATTCTTTAACTCAGTGATGTTTTGTTTGTTAATATTGGTAAAAACAGCTTAAAAAGGCAGAGCAAGGCTTGATTGAATATTGTTCAGCTTATTTAGCAAATTGAGCCTTTCTCAACATAAGTAGATAAAAAATCCATATCTCCAAATATACTTAAAATTGTCATAAAATCAATACCTTTACTTGGCAAGATTATCAAGTGTATATTGAAAAGTAATAAGAAATATATTACGCTCATATTCAGGGTGTTATATTAAAGTTAAATTGTATAAATATGACAATATGTTGATCTCATATCCAAAGATCATGCCTCATACAGAAAATATTTCATCAAAATCCTTTATTTTCAACCATCAACACTCATTGTCGAAAATCATTAAAATAGTTGTTCTATTGAAAGTACCATTAGCACTTAGTTATACTCCGAGTTGTGTTTATACTGTGGATAAGTGCAAAAAAACTTTCTTGACTATTTTAGGTCTTGAAAGAAATAATCAAGACAACCATATCCTTTAATGTCAACTTTCTGTGCCACAGAATTCAGGAACTGCAAATGTGTGATAAGTCACCCTTATATAAATAATGAACCATTGTTAGTACATTACCAATGTTTGTTACATGTCCTTATTTTTATTATCAAAGACATTTTTTTAATTATCTGAGGTATGATGTATTACAATTATTCAATAAAAATCTTGAAAAAATAAAATAAAAAATATAAAATGGAACTGATTTGGTGTATTTTTTATTATGCCCATAATAGTTCAGAAAAGATAACCCTCTATCAGTGACTCGGGTCCTCATCTGCTATTAACTCAGTTCTGTTAGTGACTTAGCTCAGAAGGGAAAACCCTCTGTTAATGGCTTAGTTCAGATGGGAAAACCCTCTGTTAATGACTTAGTTCAGAAGGGAAACCCCTCTGTTAATGACTTAGTTCAGAAGGGAAAACCCTCTGTTAGTGACTTAGTTCAGAAGCAAAAACCCTCTGTTAATGGCTTAGTTCAGAAGGGAAACCCCTCTGTTCTTGACTCAGTTCAGAAGGGATATCCTTGTTCGTGATTCAGTTCAGAAGGGATATCCCTGTTAGTGATTCAGTTCAGAAGAAACCTGTGTAAGTGACTCAGTTCAGAAGTGAAACCTATTGTGACTTAGTTCAGAAGGGAAACTCCTCTGGTCGTGGCTTAGTTCATAAGGGATGCCCCCTCTGTTATCGATTAAGTTCAGAAGGGATACCCCTCTATTATCATGCTGCACTATGTCTATAAATTTATTTCCTACATTAATGTGGAATAGATTATAATACAGACAATCAAATGAATGGGCCCTGATTCAATTGATATAAGAACAAAGTTTGTTTTCAGTAAAATGTGTCATTAATATCTGTACAAAATAATTATATATATACATAACAATCACCATTATTAATTATATTAAAGGGTGTTAACAATTATAAAGTTTTATATGTACATATGACAGTAGTCCACCTTAAACAAGATAATATTTTAAATCGAAAGTCCTTGAATTTGGTGTTGAGAGACAATAAGTATATAAGTTCATGTTCACCTACTATCACACTACGACTGGGAAACTGTAATTGGCATTCTTCTTTTGTATTATGTTTTAAGATTTCCTATATCAAAAATTAAAACCTTTCCTGACTGCCAAAATACATAATTAGGAATTTTTAAAAATTAATATAGAAAGTTTGCAAATAAATTCTCCTTGCATATACTACCAATCAAACTTGATTTGCTTGAAAACCAGACTACATCAAATATCAGTAAGACACATAATGTGATACTGAGATAATAAATAAACTAGTATTTGAACTAATCCCTTATAAATCCTAGAGCCAGCCCTTAAGTAATATTTCAAAAGGCACAGATAACAATTTACAAAATACAGGTAGATCTTATGCTAGAAAAATATATAAAACTTGATATCAGCACTCACATGAATACATAAGTATGCTCAAGAATAGCATAGCCATATTAATTATATTATATTTACATATAGACTTCATATAAAATTGCATATTTCAATTTCAATGACCAAAAAGGTTGATGAATCTCTTCTTATTTTTAAGAAAAAACCAAATAACCAAAATAAACGCCAAATTGTTTCAATTAATAATATCGAGCCATTATAAAGCCAAACACCAAATCTAGAATCTAGGTCATACTTTAGAAATATTTTCAGGTATAATTATTTTTTACAACAAAAGTGGAATGCCCCTTTAAACACTAGCCAGCAAAGATTATCTTAAAATAAGTTTCAGAATTATTGAAATATGTTTTGCTATTGTAATAACTGTATAACTAATATTATTCTGAGCACTATTTTTTACTGTTAAAACAACATTAAGTCATGAATTGTGAAAAAATAAAAATGATAAATGAAGTTAAATAGGGCTCATAAAAGAGTGAAGAATTAGCCATTTAGTTCCAAATATAATTCACAAAAATTTCACTTATAATCCAGATTATAAATCTAAATAAACCACATAATAAATTAAAAAGGTTTACAATAATTGCAATTTGGGTCAAAATGAGACGTTAACAGATTTTCAGGCGTTCAGCCAATCAGACCCACTTTTGTAAAGTTTTGCAATGGGTTAACCTTAAAATTACACTAAGAATGAAGCCAGTCACATCACTATTATAAGAGAAATATAAAATCTAGAGTATTATGACTGTATAAAAATACTTATAAATACCCTGCCCAATAAATATAATAAATAAGTTTCTTGTTTAAATTATGCTGATGCCGAATCTTCTCGTGAAAATATCTGGGAAGAACCAGGATGCATCCATGATAAACCATTAGGACGATTTGACTCTTCACTTGAACTTCTCTGTATAGAAGAAATAGAAAAAGTGGGTAAGCAATGATTATTGATTCTTTCTTCAATGACTGTCAATCTGTTTATCATATAAATCTGTCATCACAATCATTATTATTGATTGTGGGATAAAATATATTAAATAAAGTAAATTATTATATATTAAGTTCATAATGTAAATGGATTCGGACAATTAGCGAAGGATCAATGCCAAAATGTTTTGCCAAGGATCAGCTGGCATATTTTTCCAGAAGCTCACTCCTTTTTTATCATTTTTCAACCCAGTTTTGGTCACATCAAAATTTGAATATTGTAGTGTCCAGTGTTTCGGACTCCTCTGATCATTTTATGTATTGAGAGTTATGTCCCTTAATTGAATATGGCTGCGCCTATAACTAAGATGCATGCCGTCCAATTTTATGATTAAAATGTGGTTAAACTATATATATCTTTTTCACAACACCAAGATCCACCCATAAACATTATAAATATGACCTGAAACTAAACTGTTAAGTTTGCATAAGAGTGCATATAAAACATACCCCTAAATTTAACATTTGTTTTTTGGCTTCTTGAAATGTTTCATCATCTAATGGGGCCAATCTAAAAATTAAAAAAAATTGATATTTCAATACAAGCTAAAAACACTTTGTGCCTTTATGATTCATGATCTAATTTCAGTCATCCTTGCACGCATGTTTTTAGTTTAGAATTGAGTCCTTCATTTTGCTGCATTTGCCTGACATGTCTTGTTTGAGACATATGCAATCAACCAGGGCAAAGTGAATATACTAATTTCAGCCTTTGAACATTGAGTGTCAAAATATAATATGTGATCATGACCATTTACAAGTCATATGTTATATACCGTCATTTTGTGGAAGGTAAAGAGGGTGCTTGTGATGGGATTGTTCTAAAAATTTAGAAGACCATGTTTCTACCGATTTTTCACATAGTGGCAAGAAATATTACTTTGCATGCAAAACTATTCCATTGATAATTTCAAAAGCAGCACTCTCAAGGCACAATTTATATATATATATACATACCTAAGTGCATATGGGTCGTCAGTTTTGGGTAATTTTTTGATGTTGTCTTGTGAAAACATCACTGATTCTGCTACTCTCTCTTTAAATAAATCCATATCTTGTTCATATCTAAACAATAAAAACAATTCATTTAATATTTCACTTATTTATAATAAATTCTCTGAGTATGTCTGTTTTGTTTAAAGGGACAAATGGTTCATATTTTTATTTACCAATCATACTTTAGTCTCAGAAATCTGAATTTTGAAACCGTCGAAATTTGAGCCCTCAAAACCTTGTTTGTCTAGAATTATCTGCAATTGAATGTTAAAATGATGACTCGTCAATTTAAGATACTTTGTGATATATAGAAAAGACATATATAGAAATCGTGAGTAAAATTCCTAGTTTGAAGTATTTTTAAAGGAATTATGTGATTTCCGTACTTTAGTACTTTGAAAGACTATTTACATATATTTTAGATTAAAATCAACCTCACAAAATGCAGCATCTGTTCCTTTAATTTGTGATAAAAAATGAAGAATCATAAAAGAATTGAGTATATATATATATACTTCTTGATAGTGATCAAAATAAAATGATTTGACTCTGGGCATTTTCGCCTTTAAATATCACTATACAGCCTGGACTTCCATTAAGCAACCACCTTCAGTAAGCTGTCAATTTATAGCATTCCCCTTATCAAATCTGAGTCTAAAGAAATAATATACTTACAATGTAGCTGCCTCTTTATTCCAGGGATTGGTTGTATCTATTTTATAAAATATTCTCCTTACATACATTAATACTTGCCATAGATGATTTACATTACGTCTGTAGAAATATATAATACATAGTTATAATATATTGAAATATTCTCAACATTTCTCCTGGCTTTAAGATGTTTTTTTCTGTTAATTCATTAATTCTAAGATTTGACAGTCATTCTAGTATAGACCAAATTAGCTTTATATTGACCTATTCTATGTAATTTATTTATAAGAAAATCTTTCAAATCACTGCTTAAGTGGAAGTCGATATCTTTCGATGTCTCCAAGTTATGTTCTTTTGATCAATTTTGATAGGTTTCTTACCTCCATTTAGGAAAACCTCGTTTAACATCTAAATCACCAGTTACTGGATGTATTATGGGATGGAATATTGGAAAATCAAACATTAATTGCTGAAAGAAAATATCAGGATAGAGTCATTTCAATTTTGTATTACATGTATGTATTGTTTCTGTTTGTCTCCATGGACTGAATGATAAACAGGACCATGTTACTTTGGTGGTATTGGATCTAATTCTGACCCATGCAAAATTTTAGAGTTTATTACTATTATCAATGACCCCATTTCCAATCAGCTTCCTGATGATGGGTTTTATATCCAAATACATATCAAGATAATTAGATACTGGCCCATATGAGATATTCTAACAACTTTTGTCTGGCCAGAGAAAAGTTTGGAGACAACAATTACAAGACTTACTGGACAGTCACTGTCAGGATAGGTTTCTGGTATATTCATAGTAAATCTAAATACACCTTCTGAATATAAACCTTCTCTTACAAATATAAACCCATTCCAAACTGAAAACATAGACCATATCAATTGATGTACGTAGAAAAATCAACAAATAAATAAAGGTCACATCTTACTTTGCTGCATCTTTTTAGGTAAATGAAGACAGGCAATGCAGTGTGCAATGAGTGAAATTTTGCCAGGACAGCATCAATAGCATAGTCTTTTTCTCTTTCCAAATGTTGCGGAACTTTGTCATGCACAGCCTGTAGCACACATGGCCTTGGCCTTGGTTTTAAACACTTTCCAAGTATGCCCTTCTGAACTATATCTCTGAAACCAAAAGGTATAATCTAGAACTACATCCAGATCAAGTTAACACTTACCAAAAGGTGACAAGGCAGAAGGTATAGTATAAACACCAGGTATCTTCTGATTCTGTAATTGATTACTACAAAATAAGAACAAATGAATTAGTTTAATCAACATTGTTATTATTTGATAGAATTCATCATTTGGACAAATACAGAGTGTTACTTGCCCAATCAATCAAATGTGAAACCTTGTTTTTGCTATCCATAGGTTTTCTTAATACAAACATTGCGCTGTGCATTTGTGGAAATTTTTCTTTCTCTAATAAAAAAAAAAGAAACTTACTATTCAGCCATTAGGCTGTATTCTTGGAAGAAAGGATCGAATCCATTAGCATTAATAGCAGGCATGTTGTTCAATGAGTGACTGCCAGGAGTATGAGTGATGACTTTTGGAGTAAGTGGTAGCTGTTTACTTATATTACTACCACTAGGTGTCACTACAACAGATGGTTTGACTTCTGCTGAACATGAAACTGTCTGTAACAAACCCAACATAATATATCACTAATTAGAGTACAATAACTTAAAATTTTCAAGAATAAAAAGAGGAAAATGTCAAATACTATAAGAAAAAAATCTAAATCTAATCTTTTGTACTCTGAACTGTGAAGTGTGAACTTAGCCCGCTCTCTTCTCAGTTAATAATAATGACTTCTGTTCATTGGCAAAAACTGTAACAAACCACTAATTAACAATTGAGGCATTAATTAAAACCAAACATGGAAACACTAAAACAATCAAATTACTTAGACCTATAAATAGGAGCATATCAATATCAGGCACATATCACAAGGGGATGAATGAATACAATCCAAAAAAACTACCAGGTTTCAAGCACAATCTGCTATATAGTTGGACAAAAGCCACAATATACTTATATGATGAATGAGCATCAAATATTAGCATCTACATGCTGAAAATCTTATAATAAGTGTAATTTCTTCTAAATATTTTAATTACTTTTTAAATGTGAATATTAAGCAAAATATTTTGTACATCCAACATCCATTCCTGTTGGAAACATAAATGTAAGCAATCATCTTTACTTTTGTACAGAATAAATAGTTAAAACTATACCGTACAAGATATTCTTACATTGTTTTGATTACAGTATTAAATAACTAAATATAAAATGGATTGCATATTATACATACCTGTACAGAAGGAGGGGTTTGAGACATCGCCAATATTCTAATTACATCGCTTTTTACATTACATTATACTTCAGTCTTGACTCACAGTATCCTATTAAATACATAATACATGATCAGTACATTATTGCTTAGATGAATATTTCATTCTTTGTAATATTAGAGGTAAAATCCAAGGTGACATTTTTTTAATAACTTGACTTGAAGTGATCTGTTGTTCACTTAAAATACTGAACTTAAAAAAGAAAGTTGGAATGCAACACTATATTTGCCATTCAGGTTTATAAGTTAGCTTATATACCAAGTTACATTTTATTTTCTCCATATCATGTTCTCAAATCTACCAATGTTCTTGTTGGTTAACAGGCATGAAAGATTTAACAAACTAAATATTTGTTGCAGTGAGCTGAAAGGGTTCAATATCAGCTATCTGTGACAATATTAAGACAATAAATTAAACATTTAGTTTGTCTACAATCAGATAATCATTGAACAGTGAGTTAATATAATCTGACCCCTGCTACGGACAGCTGAAAATAAACACTATAAAGAAAAGCTGTTTAAAATATAAAAATACATTCTGCATTGCAGTGTAATCTACTTTGACCTCCCAAGATGTAGTCACTATAAATTATTAATTTCATGTATCATCCATTCAAAATGTAATTAAATACTAACTAACCTAAAAATCATTAATTAATAAGTAAATTTACCTGTCAAATCATGCTTACTTGGTCCAATATTACATCCTAACAAGGAAAACAGGCCATTTATTTGATGACTTATATGTTATTTTTGAATAACATTTGATTCCATGATGCTCAAGTCATCAATCATTTCTAGATCTATTATACTAAAACCATAAAATTAGCATTACAAATTTTTTAATTCTTTACTTTCCCCAAGGATTAGTTTTTGTAATTCAATATAGTACCGACACTAAACTGATAAGAGTCTGATATTTAGCTTGTAATCATGACTAATTTAGTAGCATCTCAATAAAAAGTAAATTTCCTCATTTTTTTTTGCCCATAGAACTGTTACTAGAGTAAAAATTATTCTGCTGAATTTGGGCCAATTAAAATAAATTCCAGAAACATGCTGCTATAAGCTTATCATTATTCTAAGAAATAACCATAAATCAATTTTCATATATCATAAATTTTTCAGATAATAAATACTATTAATTAGTAATATGAAAATATCATATATTATACATATGTTACCTCAACTATCGGAATGTACCAAATACCAATGGTTTTATACTTGATACATATTAAACGTAAAAATAAAAGGTAAATATAATAAACCTAATCAATATAAAATGAAAAGATACCATTCTACAGAAATCAAAGTCTATCAATAACAGTTGAAATATGAATGTCAAGAAATCAATAATAAAATAATTAGAGTAACAATTGATCGATGAATCATCCATTGATTTTGATTGTTTTGAATTCCTAAAGGAGGGAACAAACATTCCTTGCCTTTCAGTCTTAGTCTATTTATATTTCAATGGTTTTTTTTCTACATGACGATGTGTGATCTATATTTTTTCGTTTTAGATAATACCCTGTGTAGAATAGGTCTTATAGGGATCATAAAGGCCTACACATTCAAGGTGTAACACCTGGTAGAACGGGTGACAAATTTGGGTCTATAATCTTTTATAGCAGACATTTCTACTTTAAACATTTCAACCATTTATGGCCTTTCACATTTCACTTCATTGGTCATAAAATAGGTGTGTGAGTAATCTTGTTCGTGCATTGCATTATTTTCAAATTCAATCATAACATCACTGTGACTGTTGTTGATAAAATTAATTTGTTCTTTCAAATGGTGCTACACTAGGTGGAATACAAAAATCTATTCTGCTTTCACACAAAGTAGTAAAAATGGACTTCTCACCTTTTCAAGGTTCGAAAAATTATATTTGCCAGGCAAGTACAAATATTGTAAAGTGAACACTAAAAGAGGAGTTCACAGATTTCAGCAAATAATGTTTGTTTTCATTTTGAAGCAAAGGGAGACTAATCTGATTTGATTTCGAGACTTGGTTGTCCAGACTTCAATCTCATAACATTCAGACCACAGCCATTTTTTCAAAGCCAAACATTATGAATCTTAAAAAAATATAACAAACAAGGAGTTGAAATCAAAATCCTTGACATTTACAAAGTAGGCTACTGTATAAGTTAGATTTTCAGACAAGGTTAAAACCTTTTATTTCTTGCTACGTTAAGCAATAATTGATAATTTCCAAAATCCATTTCTAACCGTGTCTGCTGGAGTGTTTACAAGACAAGCTAGAAATCTTACACTTTTTCAAAAACAAGGAATATTAGTCATATCAATAATCATTTTTGTTTTTTGACATCATTCACTGATCATCTGTCACAAATTGTACATCCTAACAAATCCATCATGAATTGTGACTTCTAGAGTGTCTAAAAATATAAAGCATTTCGAAGAACAAGGGCAATACACAATTTTAATGATTCAGATAAAATAAGATCTTTCTTCAAATAGGCCTAAATGAAAATTCATAGTTTTAGAATAAGTGATGTAAGTATATCTTAGGGATCTTTTTCACCAGTGAGATCTAGATACAGCCTTTTGTGGTTGCTGGATTTTCCTTCTGCAGGATTACTAGTAAGCTAATAGATGATATTCAGCTCTATCAGCAGCTAACTAGGGATAACTTACCATTGAACAAAATAGTGTTTTAGAAAGGTATTGGATTCGTAAAAGGTGCTAAATTTCATTATTTTGCGTTTGTCAATTTTCTTTTTCGGCCGCTTTATGTTAAATTAATTCTCCCTGAAAAGAGCACTCCCGAAAAAAATTATCCAATCAAGATTGTTCACTTATCATGTGGCTCAAATCAGCCAATCACAGTTGGTGTATTTAGTTGGTCTTGGACTGCAAGGCAATATGGCCGCCTACAGTCTCTGATATTTTTTTTTTGCATTTACTGAAATATTTCTTTTCGTGATCACGTACGTGTCCATTTTTAAATGTTGGGTTTAATCAAATGTTTCAAGTTGCCTTATTTACTTTTCCTTAATCCTCCAAACGGCGCGCATTTCATCCTGATATTTAGTTTCTCGGAAGATGGAATTTTCTGAATGTAAATGTAATGATTGATTGACATTGCCATTATGAACATTATAATTATTTAGTCTACGTTTTATGTCAACACCAAAAGCTCACTTTGTTAGATAGTAGATTATCAGAGCAGATCGGTATTATGATGACAGTGATAGTAATCATAAGGGCATGAATTCCCGAATGTTGTTGAAGAGAAATGTTGAAACAAATCAAACATTTTCAGAGGGTCTCTGTTCTCTGGATATCTATATAAGAAATATAGAAAGTAGTCACCTGTCCTGAACTCCATAGTGCATATGATCATAATATGATGGGTTCTACTGCCAAATTCAGTTTCACACATCCCACTTGATTAGCAAAGATATCTTGGTGGTCCTTCCTTTTGCCATGAGTACTTGGTCAAGAATTAATGTGTCATAATGCTAGTGTAAAATTTTACTCAAGGTTTATTAGTTCATCCAGACCTGAGCATTAGATCTCTTATTAGGATTCAATTTGTTTAAAATATTTATTTTTGACAGTGTGTAGGCCTCCATGAATTTGTTATTTTAAAATGAATGGACAGAATGTCTGTCTACCTTCTTGACATGCTTACTTTGTCTCAGATTGAAGCCAATTGAAGGTAATGTGCTAAGCTAACAAATCATCAATGCTATTTGAAACTACAATAGATTTTTAAATGTGAAATTTGAGTGATTTTGAAATTTTCACGCTTTTTCCATTGACGAATAGGCCTCAAGAATATAGCACATGCCATTAAATTAAACTCTATTTAATTTTTTTCAGTAAATTCTGAAAAATGAGTGCTTCAACACTTGCACCAGAGAAGATGAAATCTCTTTTTGGTGATTTGGGTAAGGCGACTATGAGAGGTGTTAGAAAATGTCCGAAGTGTGGAACATTTAATGGCACACGGGGAGTTAGTTGTAAAAATAAAACTTGTGATGCTGTCTTTAAAGAGAAAGAAAGGAAAAGAGGACACAGTGCTGAAGCAGTTAAAATAATAACTGGTTCCACAGTTCAGGTATTTTCTGTTAGATTACGTGACAGAGGACCTGATTATAGAGGATTTGTACAGTTACCATTAGTTCAAGATTTAGATGGTAACCCAGCTACAGTTGTGGACACCTCAGTGATTGCTGGTGCTGCTAAGTGCTATGTTGACACTTGCGTTAAATTATGTTTACCAGAAGAAGCAGTGTGTTCACATATAAAATCAGCTATTGAGTGCATTCACGAAGCACAGCCGTTAACTCTTAAAAACTCTGTGTTAAATACATTACAAGTGAACAATGACATGAAACAGGCTATTTGGTTGCTAGCTACAGAAACTACTGGACCACTTGTTCAGCGTGTGACTAAAAATATCATGGTTGTCAAATGTAAACCTACTTTAAAACAACCTATGGGATTCTTACACTTTTCATTTTATGAAATAAACAGAAATAAATCTGATCATCCCGAATATAAGTTTCAATGTAGTTGTAAAACATTTAAGGTAAATATAGAAAGAGCTCTGGTTATTTACTTTCCAAGATAATGGATGAAACCTGATTACTTTTGAAAAAATTCAATCTTTTCATTTTGTCCATAGAATGAATTAAGTAAAATAGGTTTGGATAAAAGTTTTGTTTATATAGGTACAAATTGACAACTACTGATACGCATTCTGGTCATGCTCACTCTTTTAGAACTCCTGACTCCACTTTGCAACTGGATTTTTTCAAGTGAACTTTATTTCCAGAGGGTCCTGTTTATGTGGTGTATTTATTATTTCAGAATTTTAAACACAGCGTAGTTAAAGATGATAATTTAAGACGGTGTGTTCATTTCTATGCCTGTATTTGTGCATTTGCTAGTGATGACAAATTAGCAGAAGAATTTGCCTATTTTATTAATTTAGATAATAACGGTAAGTTATCATAATGTTGCTCATAAAGTAAAAAAAAATGAAAAGAATTGAATTTGACTTTGTTTTCTGATTTTGGTTGGCTTATGAAGATTGACAATGCCTTGTAGTGTCCAATGATGGAAATATCATCATAAGAGATTTCTTTATCTTTTTAATTTTTAACTGATGGGTGTTTAAATTGCAAAGCTTGTAGAACACTGAGCCCTAATTTTTTGCTAACACAATATATAGATCTTAAAATCTTAAAAATGCCATTAAATGGTTTGAAACCTGGAAACCATTGGTAAAGGTTTAGTCAACTAACATGGCAAAAAAAAAATATATAGGATATTTAATTACATACAGTACCATTATGAATTTATTTTACACAACTGATACCTTGTTTACCTATGATATACTATTTCAGTGTCTGTAGATATTAACACTGAACCTCAAGTTTTAAATATTTATCCATCATCTGAAGTTTCTGTATCCACAACTGACCCCTGTCCATTAGAAATTATGGTTATGGAAGAAGAACTCTTAGGTGGACCATGTGTAGTGAAAAGGAAGAAGAAAGATGAATCTATGGGTAATGATTCTGTATATTTGTGTGTATAGTGCTCTCTCCTTTCATCAATTTAAAGCTATCATGCTAAAAAAAATAATAGTTTTAAGAAAAATTATGACTGTATTTATGGTCCACTAGTAGAAAATATCAGATGAGCTTATTTTTTTAAAAAAAAATGATGGCATTTTTAAAGGACAATGACTTTAAATTTGTGGGATTTTTCATCAGAATTTTCCTCAGTTGATATTGCCATTTTGTACTTTTACAAAGAATTTTTATCTTTTTCTTAAGCTTAGTTATTGACTATAGAATGTGATGAAGTAAATTTCTATTCTAATAGTCTTTATATATATATTTTCAGTTCAAGCTGGTAATACTCTTTTAACATTACAAGAAGCGTATGATTCTATAACTAATAAAAAATCTAGTCCGGCTAAAATCACCAAATCATCACACCACACACCTAAAAAACCTGGTAAATATCAAATATAGTATTATTATAGTGTAGTATGATAATAAAAATTCTTTTCGTGTAAAGAGCTATCTAATTACAGTGCAGATCTATTTTATAATTAATGTAAAATTAAAAATATAATTTCAGTACCAACAATAGTAGATGAGACTCAAGTTACTTTAGGTTTTATACAATGGTTATCTAGTGTTACTGAACGTATTAATCAAACTATGCATTATCAATTTGATGGTGAGTAAGCCTAATTGCATAATGTTAAATAGTTTTTTCATGATATGCAACTCCACTTAAGATTTTGACTGCCTATAATATCTAAAGGCCTGTGTGATTTCTTAAATAGCTTAGATTTTTTGTGAAATTGCAAGGTCCACAAACGTGTAACTGAAAATTGTTGCAAATCAATGCTTTCAATGTCCCCAATACTCATAAAAGTTTAGTTAACTACTTTACAATCTCTTTGAGATTTCAGAAATATTTGCTTAGAACTGCAAAAAAGACAAATGATATAAGGCTAAATTTTTTAAGCAACTTCAGTATGTAGAATATCATAATTTATTTTTAGGCAACCCAGAACCTTTAGTTTTTCATGCACCACAAACATTCTTTGAGTGTCTACAACAACGTATATCTGCTGGCAACAAGAAACGACGTCTACCAAATTTTACTACTGGTTTTGTGAGGAAAGATGCTCTACCATTAGGAACATTTACTAAATATACTTGGCATATAACTAACATATTACATGTTAAACAGATATTTGATACACCAGAAGTAAGTAGAGAACTTGTAGGATCCCTCAATTTTCTGCCCATGACTGCATCTACATATATCTTCTTGAACAACAATACTTCTCCATATAAGCTGGGTTGGAACACTGTTTATTTGTGGCAGTGGAGTAGCTCAGACTAACGATTCCCAAGAGTGTGCACAATTTCAGATATCAACCACTATCACCTATCCCTCAAATAAGAGTATGATGAGCAATAATGATCTCATATAAATTCTTTCTTACTTTAGAGTACTTGATAAACTTCCATAGAAGATATTCCCAAAAGCTTCAAATTCCAAAATGGACCTCTTTTATGTATGGTTTTTAGAAGTATAGTTTTATCTGTTTGATTATTAACAGATACCACTAGATATAACAAGAAGTTTTATAGAGAATAGAGATGGTTCCTATGATTTATATGAGGTACCTAGAGTAGAAGTTGAACCAATGGATGACTTACTGAAAACCCAATCTGTTAAAAACCAAACACCTATACGTCCCTTTGAAAGAAAAACATTCCTTAGAGTTGGTAGGTATTTATATAAAATATGTGCTTTTGTGTTTTCAATTTTTGTCTGATGGTAAATTGGTCTCAAAACCTATATTTTTTTGTATTCTGAATTAAATGAATTAAAATATATTTACTGTCATGTTTTGAAGTTTTGGAATATTAAAGACATTAAATTCCACTTGTTTACCCATGGATATAAAGACCACATTTCCAGTACAAGCTCGAAAATCTACTTTTTTTCCACAATTTGATAAAACATGATTTACTAGTATACATAATTCTAAAATGAAGATAAAGTTAAAATTTGAGCACTTTCTTAATATTAACCTTTAAAAATTCTATACTTCTCTTGTTTTTTTTTTCAGGAGCCTCTTCTGTTGAAAGTAAAGATCCCACACCTTTTATTATAGAATGGATACCAGACATTTTACCTAAATCACGCATTGGTGAATTACGTATCAAATTTGAATATGGACATCAAAGAAATGGACAAGTTGAACAAAGAATCCAAGTACCATTTCAAGATATACCTTTACAGACTATACAAACTATTCATGTTCAGGAATTATAGAATTTGGTTGACCTAGAAGTACTTAAACATGTCTTTCAATTGTTTTTGCATTTAAATGCTGCATTTACTGTGAACAAAAAAGAAGTTCTCAAAAGTAGCCTTAAGGTGTGACCACATGAACAGTCTTGGTCAGAGATTTTTGTCACTGACTAGAACCTTGAGTAAAATCTCTCATGTGCCTGTGTTTCCACAAGGTAATTGTGTTGCTGACAGGATTTATAATATCAAACAAGTTTAATAATTGTCTCCGATAGTTTTATTAAGACAGACCGTCATCATCCAATCAGATTCATTTTCCTTTCAATTGTATGCTCTACATATGATTTTGGACATAGTGGACCGATTGGAGATTTTTGTCTGCTCGTGCCTTAAATTATGATACACTGATACTGTTCAAGGAATATAGTTTTCTAAATGTTTGTAGTTTCATAATAAAAGTCAGGTGCCTGGCTTGTATCAGAAAAATGCAAGGACAGAAGTAGCAACAGGTTAAATATCTATGCTAGAAACATATATCATGTGAATCTATTACTTAATACTTAAGTACTTAGATATTTGCTTTCTCGATGCTCGGGCAAATAAGTGCATTTTCAGTATGTAGAGACCTGTGGACAGCTGAATAGAGAGTAGGATCAGCTGAAAAAGCAACTATTTTGATGAAAATAACCCTTTAAATTAAACACTAACACATGGTATCTGTGTCTGTCAACATTTTAATGGGAATATGATTTATTAAGCTTATATTTTGAACTATCTGAAGGCTTCTGATGTAATGAAGTTTATTAAACAAGGAATTTATTTTCAATAATAATAAATAGTTTCTTGAAGTCTTGAAATTTCAAAAGTAATTTCTGCTTCTATTTGAATTTGTGACAAAATGTTTAAACATAATTTATTTAATATGTGTACATGTACTTATTGTATAAATTGATGATTGTGATTAATCTTCTAGGAAAGTTTGGATTATTTTTGTTTATGGTTTAATTGGTTATATTATATTATGTTTGTTATAGGTTAAATATGCCATATGTTAATAAAATTCAATCAAAAACTTTTAATTGTTTATAAATGCATTGTTTGTACTTTGGAGATGCTAATGAGTGGAGGTTTCAAAGATCAAATGGGTTACTATCTGGAGTAACAATTGCCAGCAAGGAGTAACTACTGCATTTCTTTTGGGGTGTTTGCCTATGCAGTGCTTTTTGAATAAAGAGCTTGTGATTTTGTGTTGAATTATAGTCTTGGTGTACCAATAGGATAAAATATTTCCAGTTAATATGGTAGGTCATTGAAGACCTTACTTTATTGTCCCATACAAAAAACTGGCCTTTAATGATCTCTGACAGGCATTTATGTTGATAAATCAAAGCAAGGCAGAGAAAAACTTTTCAAAGGACACCAAAATAACTAGCCAAGCCATCCCATTGGGTTTTGGTACCACGCCTTCAAATTTATCATTTTTCATAGTGAAATTATTGCCCTTGGCTCTCCTCACCTACAGTTTGCAAAAAATGCCACTGTTTAGAAGTGTTCAAAGATGCTCTTAATATATGATGAATGTCAATGGAATTTCATGGGGAATTTTTGTTGATAAAACAAGAATCGGGAAGTAGTTTAGTTTATCACATTATTTAATATGAAACAATTGAGAATTAGAGCTATACAATTTCTTTGGTACAATTTCATACATACAATTTTCTTATACACAATTTCATTCAGCACCATTAAAACATTGCACTATTAAAATATACACAGACGTTCTGGACAAAAGTTACGATATATTACAACCATGGAAATAAAAAAGGTAAAAATTTAGACAAATTCTTAAAAACAACCACTTTTGTGTTTTCACAAGACTTAAAAGAGTACTAGAGAATAAAAAAAAACTTTTACACATTTCTTTCTGATAGTAGGATATTGAGATAATTTATAACACAACAAGTAAAAGCTTTATTTAAGCTTTCAATAACAACCATTGAGTTTTAAAAACTTTAAAAATTTAACAAGAAATACAAATTACTATACATTACCATTTCAAATGTAAAATTATAATCATAAATTTCATAAATTCATTCACAAAATTAGGTCTATATATTCCAGCACTTTCACATGGCACAAACAAAAACATAATCCAAATAATCACACAAAAGTCACAAATGGATTTTCTATGTCATTTTCCACAGCAGATTTTGAAAAGGTCCTTGGTTTTGGAGAAGGACCGATTTTTCCTGCTTGAACTAATGATTCATAAGTAGGGGGAGTATGAAGATAAAAGTTAGATTTGTCCTTTAATGCCCCTTTGTTGACTCCTGGTGAATTTCGACTGACCAACTTGAATCCTGATCCTAGAGAATGGTGTAGTTGAGAGGCATTGACAGGTGTAGGAGGAGTGAAATTAGCTATATCGGTATCAGATAAATCTTTAGCAGAATTTCTCATCGGGCTAGGTGTGTCCACTTGGCTAACTAGGGTACTATCTAGATCTTCATTACCTGGAGAGTGCTTTTCAGGGGAGGCAAATGGTGCTGGATTTTTGTCGTCCACTGAAGTTTTTGGGTGGAAATAATATGGTTTTGGTAATGAATTAGAATTTTCAATTTCTTTTTGAATATCACTTAAAATGATTGTCTTATTATTGTCTATTATCACTGGCTGCATACTGAAATAATCATCAGCTATCTCTGGACTGGGATGAATACTGTCTTTACTAAAACTTTCATTTGAACACACAATTCTCTCCATAGAACCAAATGTTTGAGTTCGGTTGAGTTTATTTGAACCAAAAGTTTTATCCCGATCATGAACATATGTGTTTGGTTTGAAAGGAACTTCATCAAATATATCACCCAGTGATGAAATCCTTTTGTGATCTGGTGTTGGACTTCCTTGCCACTGGCCATCTTCTTCTTGGCGTAGAAATTCAGGCATTTCTACGGAACAGGTACCCAGACCTCTCTGGTCATCTAGCCGTTGGCTCTGTGCCTTGCGTAATAGCTCAAAGAGCTTTTCATCTGCAAAGGAGAAAATTCAAATATTTAAACATTGTTCATTTAAAATTTGTTAAAAACATGTAAAATATAACTTAATAAATTTGTTTCATAAATATATTAAGTTAAAGTCAAAATTAAATGTCATGCCTACCTTCTTGGTCCGAGTTTTTCTTGGACAATTCAATCTTTGGAAGAGAGGAATTCACTTTGCTCTTGACCTTCTGCTTGTTCATTTCGTTTCCCCAAGACTCTCTTCTCAGTAGGGCGAATAAGTTTAATGAGCGACTTCCTTCGAGATTTTTGGGCTGCTAAAAAAGTTAAAGGCATCATAAGTAAAAATGGAACTTTTATTATAATCTAATAGAAAAATAATGCATGCATCATGCAAAATAATATTGATATACATATATATGCATGCAAGACAAACAACCCCTTAAAAACCACATAATATCCTTTTAACCACTATTGCTGTCATCAGTCCAATATAGCAACTACTAATCTACACAACTACCATCCCATGAAATGACTACTGATGGTTCTCAAACAGAATCCAGACAGCAGACAATTCCACAGGAAGCACGTACACTACTACTACCGCTTACCTTGCCACCATGGTCAAACTCAAGAACACCCATATCATCAAAGCGATGAATGGTTTCAGACTTTCCTTTCATCAAATCCTCAAAGATGCCATTAGTTATTTCTTCAAGTGAGGCAGAAGTATGAACACTAGCCTTGGTTTTAATTTTAGTTGAGCCAAGCGGAGGCTTAGTAACCAATAAATTCCGCCTGTCATTGCCACCCCATTCTGTTAGACAAACAGAAACATGCAAGGGAGATTACTCAATTAATTCAATGGGAGATAACTCATGCAATTCTATTTTATTCATTTAGGTTACTTTCAAACTTGATTAAATTAAATTATAAAATTCTTAAGTTAGCAAAGTGCAAACAAAAATATATTAAAATTAGTTCTTTAAATATTTTCAAAAATATAAGTTTAGGTTTTAGGATTTTAAAATATAAGTTAGTGAAATGTTTAATGAAAAAGAGGCAGATAGATTGTTAGTTGGTTACATTCATAAGGTCATAAGGTCATGGGGAACTAATGAGAGGAAAAATGTGCAGGTAGGTTTTTAATGGATGAGGGTGATAACGTAAGATTTGTTAAGAATTATTGAGGAATTAATGGTTGAAGTTCGAGTTAGTACCATGAATGAAGAGGCAATGATAAGCAGATGATTTGATGAAAACTAAACGAATCCAGACCACAATGAAACACACATAGTATACTTACTTAGATGACAATTACACTGACAATTATCATAGCCTTTTAAGATAGCATTGACAGAGAAAGTAGACACATTACAAGTTAACCAAGACACCACACACTATCAACCAACACGACCGATACATCAACCAACTGAGCTATATTTAGAAAGCATTTTTTTTTTTTTCAAGATGATTCCAAAAAGTTAAACTTCTTTGAAAATATAGCTCAATACAAACATATCCCACAAAGCAACAGATATTGAAAGATAATTTTAAAAAACAATTCTGTTTAAGAATTTATTTCTGACTTACCAGTTAAATCATCTTTAGAGATGATGACAATTCTTTGATTATCAACTTCCGAAACCAGCATTTCAAGATCTAACAAATCACTACCTCCAGACTGAAAATAAGAATGAAAGAATGAATAAAAATAATAATGAAATAATGAATGAAAATAAGAATGAATGAAAATAAGAATGCAAGAATGAATAAAAATAAGAATGAAAGAATGAATGAGAATGAAAGAATGAATGAAAATAAGAATGAATGAATGAGTCACAGCATCTTTATATTAGGCAAGGCACTAAAACATTTTTTTCATTAAAGAATCTAATGAGAACTCACCAACTGTACACCAACTTGGTCCACCCTATATCCATATTTATTAAGAATAGGTTTAAAAACATCTCGAATAGTTCTATTAGGTTTAGCTTTCACACCAATAGATTTCTTATTGGGTAAATCCATTCGAAACAAAACTCTACGTTCAATAATAACTTCTTTAGATCCCAATAATGATATATCTTCACTTAAATCTAATGGCTGCAAAAAAATTATCAAAATTATTTCCTTGATCAGAAAAAAGACTTCTGAAGAATTTAATAGCATTATTTTTTAAAAATCTAACTAAATTCAAGTTTAATTTACATAATCCATATGCTTTAAATTATATTTACCTTATCAGAACCAAGTAGGAATACATCCACAGAAGCAATGGACAAGCTGCGTTTTTCACAGAGTTTACCAAGAACACTTCTGGTAGTTTGACCAGGTTTAGCACAGACAACAGTAGTAGAACCATCAGGCATGATGACTCGGCAAAATTTAAACTGACCCTCCGTCTGCTCTTTCTTTTCAGCAACAGTCTAAAAAAAAGGGAAAAATTAATTAAAAAAAATGTGAAAAAGTTCCACATAGCAAGGTTATTTTAAAATATTTTTTGTGGAAAATGCTTTCATATAGTTCTTTATTTTTTATCACTTGTTTCAGATAAGTTAAGTACCCACCTCTTTAGTGCTGAAAACTTCCTTTCTCATGGTGCTAAGATCAATACCAGGACCAGGTAGTTTCTTAACATGTTCTTTTTTCTCTTCCTTGATAGGCTTAGCAGATACATCTTCTTTAGAGCCTTTTATCTTAGCTAATTTCTTCAATTCAGAGTCAGAGGCCGCTTTCAAATTTTTTGTTTTATTTTGTTTCCAAGGTAACAGAGATCTGCGTCTGCTCTTTTCTTCATTTTCTTTACCCTTCTGAAGATACAAAATAAAAATTGATTATTTTGAAACCAATAATTTCTGATATCATTCATATATGACTGATTTGAAAAAATTGATCTGAATTTTTTTTTTTTTATTTTGTAAATATTTACCTTTTTCTTTTCAGGTTTTTCTTCACTTTCCAAAACTGGTAAATCTAATGGCTGACCTTCAATTTCTCTCATTAAATAGGTTTTATAGAGTTCAGATTTCAAGAATCTGGCATAACTGTCAGTTTTCATCAGTTGAAAAATCTAGGAAAAAAAATTTAAATTATAGATATGCTGAACTTGACTTCACTTTTTAACTGTTTATTCACAGAGACCTACTGCTCAAAATATTTTTGCAACTAAGGGAAAAGTAAAAATGAAGTACCTGTTGTTGAGCAAGATCAAACATAATTGAATTAGGTGTATCTATAAATTTGTCTGTATGAAGTCTAGCAGCACTATCTACATTAACTGGATCACTAGCCCGAGCACTAATATGACGTTCATAAATCTCTTTAGCTTTCACTTTTCTATATTCTTCATCAATTATATTCTTATAATCTTTACATGCTGTCCAAAATATGATGTTCTCTTCGCTAAATTCCTTCTTTAAAAATTCCTGCAAATGAAATAATTGAAATAAAATTTTGGGAATTAAAACCGAGATTTGATTTTTAACTCATGAGCACAGTTGAGAAACATGAAAATTTAGATAAAAATAACTTGAAGAAATGCTGCATTAAATGATTGACTTACAGTGAAAACAGCTATTCCAGATTCATCTTGTAGAAGTTTATCAAAGTTAACAGCCCAGCCTGCAATACGCCCAGCATCATCGTCTTCTTCTATCTTACTAACTTGATGTATAATACTATTAACACTGTTAGCTGGTAATAATCTATGGTTAATCAAATCAGCATCTCCTCCTATTAAAGACTGAAAATATGCAAAAATATGTAAATTAGGTACAAATTGGAAAATTTTACACAAAATTGACAAAAAATAGGTCTAACGTTTCATTATCAATGACAAAAAATCAAATTTGTTAAAGTCAAAGATTACATGATCAGATGCCCAAGTGTAAAATTTGATTAAGATAATCTTCTTTATTGAAATTCAAGGCGTAAAAGTAATTTTCTGTTATTTACGACTATTTGATAATCTTTAACCCCAGGTCAAAATAAGAAAATAAATGCCTAATTCTTAATTGTTACATAGCATAACACAATAACAATAGACATCAAAAGGGTTAATCCTTTCTTTTTAATTGAGATAACAATAGGCAAATAAGATGTAATTCTTCAAAATCACCCAATTATGTCTCAGTGTGACGTTGTAACTATAAACTAAACTCTTAATAAAATCTCCACTATAGTTGTAACTTATTTAGCGTAACTGATCTGGTCATTAATTCAACTGACCGATATATTGCCCAGTTGTAAAAAACTTTAATTTCATTCATTACATTGTTCAGATTTTTCCACTAGTTGAGTTTTTAAGATTAATGCATTGATATTTTGAAAGATTTAAGAGATATTTTTTACTCCCTTAAAAGTGTTAAATTTTTTGACCAAAATTCAGAATATTAAAAAATTATTTTGCTGAAATGATATGTATATCAATTGCTTACCGTTTTAATAAGATGCAAATTAGAAGGAAATTCCTTAATTTGTGTCTCTGATAAATTGAATAAGTCATATCGTAATATCCTTGCACAAATCATGATTTTCAAATCACATGCATGACAATAACAGCTACTTCAAATATCACTAAGTTCCTAATTACACATGTATTAATGATTTTAAATCCGTTAGTTCAAATACACATGGAGTCCATTAAAAGTTTACAAATAAACATAATCCTTTACAAACGGAAATACACTTTGAAGTTTTAAAAATATTTTTTTTTTTATCTTCCTTGTCCAAACACACTAGGTTCAATATTATTTTTTGTGATATTTTAAAAAAAACTTTTTTTACAATGATAACATGATATCCAATAACACCATATATATATACAAAATCCTAGACTATTATGCCCACACAGAGATTTGTTAAAAGTCAATATGTAGGTATATGTAGATGTATAACTGCTATTATTCTACTACGTATATTGTTTCCAAGTCAATATGTCAGGTGCTAATTATGAATATAATATAGATTTAATATAATAACTTAATAAGTTAATATCCTATTACAGTGGATTAGTTAAGTCCAGCTTAGCGTGCCAGGCATATTCAATGATTTCTAAGATTCTTCAGATTATAGATTATGAATATTTCAAATGATCAGAAAGTTATTAAGATAAGTTCATAATCTTATGACATTTATCAGTTAATCCAATTTATTTTTCAATAGATATTAGTTTTAATTTTTTAAGTCGAAAATTCTCATACTTACATCAATTGACATACTATAATCCAAAATAACACATGGTGGACGAGCTCGGATTTTTTTACTCATTTGCCCAGAACGGCTTCTAGTATGTTTCCTCTTTCGGTAAGTTTGCTCATAGCATTCAAAATAATCACATGATACAGTCATGCTCAGATCATTTTCACTAGCAATAACCATTTTGATGCTATAATCCACACAAATTGTTGATAAAATGATAGTAAATATGTATTATAGAGCTGTTGATGTGAACTTGACTAATGTTCAATTTGAAATGTCACTCTCAACAGTTCAGTTGATATTTATACCCCAACCTAAAGACCCTTACTCTACACGAAGCTGATAATCTTTGAATACACCCCTGTCATAGATTGATGAAAAATCTTTCACAAGTTATTCACAGTTCACTCAATAGATTGATAGATAACCCCTCTTACTAGACCAATAGAAACTAGGGCCCATTCAAACAGTAAGGTGATTAAAGGCTCCCAGACTGTAACAACATAGCTACTAATTGCTTACCACCTTCTGTATAATGATACTCCAATTTAATTGGTTCAGTTGACATAACGAGACATTTCATTGGTTTAAAAGTTTTGACATGAAATGAATTTTACTGTCAATTTCATTTGCAGTTGACATAATATATTGCAATGCAAACCTTGTCCATCCCAAACTTTTAATATCGTTTTTAATGTAATCCATTTTATATTTAGCATCACTCATATTTGTATTGACAGAAGTCAGTTTTGTCCAAACTTTTAGGATTATGAACTTTTAACATGGTTTTATTACTAAAAGGTTTTTGGAGCATTTGTTAAAAAATATACATTAAGATTTGAACCTGAAGATTTTTAAAACACCTATATATACAATATGATATCAAGAACTATCATTAAATAGTAGGGCTTAACTTGGTAGATTACAGCAGAATTCACTTTGAAATTTATTAATACTTGGACCACATTTCCATATAGTTCTGATAAATCCTGATAAAAATGGTTATTTACACCAGAGTAGAGAGTACAGTACCTAGCCTAGTAAATGCAGGACAATGAAAATGCACCAAAGATTTGATAATATGGACCTGTATTTCTTTACTATTTTCACTGTAAAGCCTTACCAGAATCAGATGTGCCTGCTCAAAATTATAAGAGTTTCATAATTCAGAAATTGTTTCTCATCTTCAAAGTTATAAAGATAATGAAAGATTCAATTTGTAACCTATACTTGGCATTGCTACATTCTTATATAACATTATAAATACATTTTATTGACACATTAGAACATTTTCATGCCAACCACCCCTATTTTATTGACAATCTTATTGAAGGAGTGAACTCTATTGGATTACTTTGTCTAGTCCTATATAATAAATTCTAACCCTGCTGTGTCAGGGCCAAAGTAAGTTCAATTACTATAGCTAGTAGATTAACCTGGCCATCATACCTAGAGGCAGGGCCATCACTGGACATATTAATAGAAATCAATTAACAAAACAGGAAGTTATGCAAAAAATGTTAATGTCCAACAATTTCAATGAACTTTGAACAATTAACCCTATTGGTTTCAATTTGTTTCAAAAATGCCATTCAGTGAGACACCTTTTGTGAACTTTACTAGAAACTTTTTGTATCAATTTAAAACTGAGGTCTATCATAGACCACACACAATATTAAGTAAAGATCATGATGCTAGATAGTTAGTTACTTGATTAAATATTGAAATCTATCAACTTTACTAGACAGACTGTCTCTAGTTCTATCTCAATATTTAATCATAATTTAACACTATTCTCTAATGTTTTATAAAATAATGATTATCTATCAAGAATAGTCTAGCTAGAGTAAAGTTAGTTACTTGATTGAATATTGAAATCTATCAACTTTACTAGACAGACTGTCTCTAGTTCTATCTCAATATTTAATCATAATTTAACACTATTCTCTAATGTTTTATAAAATAATAATTATCTATCAAGAATAGTCTAGCTAGAGTAAAGTTAGTAACTTGATTGAATATTGAAATCTATCAACTTTACTAGACAGACTGTCTCTAGTTCTATCTCAATATTTAATCATAATTTAACACTATTCTCTAATGTTTTATAAAATAATAATTATCTATCAAGAATAGTCTAGCTAGAGTAAAGTTAGTAACTTGATTGAATATTGAAATCTATCAACTTTACTAGACAGACTGTCTCTAGTTCTATCTCAATATTTAATCATAATTTAACACTATTCTCTAATGTTTTATAAAATAATGATTATCTATCAAGAATAGTCTAGCTAGAGTAAAGTTAGTTACTTGATTGAATATTGAAATCTATCAACTTTACTAGACAGACTGTCTAGATGTTATGTCTGAAGAGTTGATTTGAGTAAAGTTTACTTTGATCATAATTTAACACTATTATATATAAATTGAAATATTTTATAAAATAATGATTATTAATTTATATTTCTAGAAGTTATGTCTGAAGAGTTGATTTGATTAAAGTTTACTTTGATCATAATTTAACACTATTATATATAAATTGAAATATTTTATAAAATAATGATTATTAATTTATATTTCTAGAAGTTATGTCTGAAGAGTTGATTTGAGTAAAGTTTAATTTGATCATAATTTAACACTGAAATATTTTATAAAATAATGATTATTAATTTATATTTCTAGAAGTTATGTCTGAAGAGTTGATTTGAGTAAAGTTTAATTTGATCATAATTTAACACTGAAATATTTTATAAAATAATGATTATTAATTTATATTTCTAGATGTTATGTCTGAAGAGTTGATTTGAGTAAAGTTTAATTTGATCATAATTTAGCACTATTATATATAAATTGAAATATTTTATAAAATAATGATTATTAATTTATATTTCTAGACGTTATGTCTGAAGAGTTGATTTGAGTAAAGTTTAATTTGATCATAATTTAACACTATTATATATAAATTGAAATATTTTATAAAATAATGATTATTAATTTATATATATCTAGAAAGTTTTATGTCTGAAAGTTTGATTTAAGTACAGTTTTATTAAATGAAAATTGGAAAGTTTTCACTAAACCCCAAAATGTTATTTAGGTATTATAAATAATATGATTTTATAAAGCCTTATATTTCATTATGCTTTTTTACATACATTATTCCCTCAGATATTTCTCTGATTTATTAAACAAACAATACATACCTCGTGAGATTGACTGGGATGTTTTAATGGTTTATTTCTACGAAATGAAGATGTTTTACGCCATCGTTGATGAATATGTTGACTGTCAATGCGTTCCTTTTCTCTCTGTAATGATAAAAATTTGAGCTAGTTAGTGGACACATCTATGACCTTGAATGTAAGAAAAATTTGGATTCCATAGTCAATCTTTTCAATCATTAGTCCCTTTCACACACTGTAATAA